TTCTATTGGTTATAGGTAATATATAATGAAATGTAAAAGAGAACTATCAACCAATTGTGAAAGATAGAATGTGGCAGGAGGGTCTGATTTTCTCTTTGATAGCTCTGTAAACCAAATAAAATTGAAGGCTATAGAAATTATGGTCTGTTTGAGCAATAACGATTTTATAGAGAGTATTTTACATTTAATTTCGTTCATTTTCGAGGAGTGATGGATAAAATGGGGATGATGACATGCTAAGACAAAATGTGTCGTGTGTTACACTAGTGGAAATTCAGGATTTTTTTAAATATTTCCTTTTAGAATTAAGAACTTAAAACTTGTATACTATTATTAGCTAAGATTTTCTCGTATTATAATTGGTATAACATAAACAAAAAGTAATTTAATAAAATTTTGAATGTAAGACACTAAAACCTTGTGTCATGCGCAATAAAGCTTACTCGGGCCGATAGCGTTAAGGTATAAACTTAAGTTTGTGGGGTTGTCCAGCATACAATTTCACTAGTTCATACCAAGTGGTTGAAAGTGATAATAAAAAGAAATTTGTCTCTGAGCTTCCTCGTTTACCATCTTTCTTTTTTTTTAATCAGATGATAAACATAAAAGATATTATAGTTGATTATTTTGTTAATATTTCTAGAATAAAATAGTTTTCAAGCTTTGAAATTTTATGAACTTTTGTCTTCAGAAAGTTAATGCTATGCACTAGGGATTGATCCGTCAGACATAGTGATACTTATTATATTTCTGAATTTATCATGTGCATCTTCATGAAACTTAGCAAGATTTTAATAATCATTACAAGTCTGTTGTACACAAATACAATATTTTTACAAAAGATGTGTCTGAGAATTTACAAAGCCTTTTCTGAGTCAGTTTGAATTAAAGTGATTTTCATGTTAAGAATGAAAATACTTATTTTGATCTTACGGTTTTATATTTCATTTGCATAACCTCAAGAACCTCCAAATTAATATCAAGTTTTTTATAGAACTTTATATTTTATTTTCTCTACTCTAACACTAACTGTAATGTACTTACCGATGTACAGTGAAATGAAAAGGTGAAAATATGAAATAAAATGAACAATATCTTTTTTAAATTCTTTTTAAGTTAATATTTTTACCTTTCTCACATGTGTTTTCTTGTAGTTTTATAGTTTTATTGCCTGTACTTTGAACCACCATCCTCCATCGAAGCAGTAAATTACACTGGAAGCCCACTAGCCATCTGTGGTAAACACCACAAGCAAGGTGCATGACCCACATGATCTTTGCACTTGCTAGGCTTAATTTTGTAAACAAAGTTTATTGTTCAAATTAAAATTTATATAGCTTAGAACACAAAAGTATATTAGACACTAGAATAGAATGTTAAAAAAATTCTGTTAGTTGCTTGGAGTTGAACAACAATGACAACAGATAAAGAAACAAAAGCCAATTGTCTACATGTGCCTTCATAAAAGAAATACCTGTAATAAGTTTTTTTGTAGAGGAGAAAATACTCATTTTATTGGTTATAAACATTTCTATTAGGTAAAGACATGGGTAGATAATTTTCTTAATAGCTATGGAAAGATAGAAGGGCTTCTCTCATAGGTTTCACAAATTAATATCTCAGCAAATAAATAAGATAGGAGGTTCAAATTTTATATTCTTGATTCTTATTATTTATGGATTGTGTTTTTAATTGGTTGGTTACACTGAAAGCCATATTAAGGAAGATACAAAACCTCTAGAGGACAATTCAGGACATTTCTAAAACTGTGATGAACAGAACAATGATTTCACAATTGCTTGGGATAATTCAGTGTGTGTTGCAAAAACCAAGGTGTGACCATTATGTAAAGAAACAGATGCAAACAACAGCACACAGTGCATGCAGAGAACCAACCATTGTCACACATATAATCAAATGTGAGCTATGGATCTATTTGTTTGGTTAATACTTCATATAATAAATGACCTATATGGTGTATACAATACAAGTGCATCTGTACCACTTGCTTGTTATCATTATGGACAGTTTTTAATGCATTTTATTCATTTTGTGGCAATGCCACAAAAGTGCTAACAACTTGTGCTTTAGTGCATTTATTTCATGATATACACATGCATACAAATTAAAAAGCATAACATACACACACACACATTAAAAAGAGAAAACTGGTTCAATAAGTTAGTGTAAGGTGTGAATAAAGTATATCATGGATCTATTATCAGTAACCCTATTGCCATGAGTTTTAGTATTATTAAACTACTTTTTGTTTATGTTATATACATTAGAATAGCCTAAAATCTTAGCTAATAATTCATATTTTAATAGTATATAAGTTTTAAGTTCTTAATTCTACAAGGCAGTATTTAAAAAATCCTGAATTTCCCCTAGCGTGACCCACATGACACATTTTCTTTTAACGTGTCACCTTCCCTATTTTATCCGCCACCGCTCTAAAAAGTATGAAATTAAACAAATTACTATCTATAAAATTGTCATTGCTCAGACAAACCATTAGTTATATAGTCTTCAATTTTGTTTGGTTACAGATCTATTGAATAGAAAATCACACCTCTCCTGCCACATCCTCTCATTCAGAATTTGTTAATAGTTCTCTCTTATATATCATCTATAACCAATAGAATGTCAATGTTTTCATGTATCAAATGACATATTGTATAATGTTATGTTCTGAATGGTTAAATATCAGTTTCACTCAGAGTAACAACATCATTCCCGTGAGAAAGTTAAAAACTATCTTGGATGAATTTCTAATGACTCTTGTCGCATAGTTAGAAAGCCATAAAGATTTTGAGAGTTAAGGGAATTTGTCTACTTTTTGCATGTTATTAGTCTACATTCTTTGGTGCATTATTTAATTAAATATAAATTATTAACTGCATTAGTATAAAATAATTAGGGTTAACTCTCTTTGACAATCGACAGCAAGCAAAAAGAAGATTGGTTAAGTATTGTATTTCTTGTTTTTCGTGTTTATTCTTTGTGTATAATTATAAAAGTAACTAAA